TAGCATGTTCCGTCTAACGCCTAACAATCAACGTTCAATAACTACGGGAAAGACATCAGTCGACTTGAGAACCGAAGTGGTAGCACCGTTTTTCAAGAAGGCAGGCAACGTCGACTGCTGCAATTATCGATGCCTTACTTTATTGGGTCTATCGAGAAAAGCCTACGCAAAGAAGATGCAGCAGAACAGTTGACTCTAAAATCCAAGAAAAGCAGTGTGGCCTCTGACCAGATCTTCGTATCAAGCCAGATTGTTGAGAAATCGTGGGAATTCGCTCATTCTGCTGTACATGTGCTTTGTTGACCTGGAGAAAGCATATGACCGGATCTCGCTCAACAACTAATCGGCGTGCCTTCGAACATATTGGATCGATGGCCAGTTGATGGCAAGCGCCGGTGATGTGGCAGAGTAAATGTCGTTAAGTTTGAAACCTTTCACCGTCAATCTGATCTCCGTCAAGACTGCGTTCTGTCCCTTATTCAGTTTGTGTTGTATATGGAAAGAATAGTGACGTGCAGCCAGGATGACGAGTGTATCAATGCAGACGGCCTTGTTTTGTCGGCATCTTCTGAAACTGATCTCCAGCACTCGCTGGAGAAGTTCCCAACAGAGTGCGACGTGGCCGGTATACGTGTAAATGTGTATCAAACCAAAAGCCTGGTGTTTTCTTGTCATCGTACCAGTTGCGCCCTTCACATAAACAAGAAAGCGTGGATCAGGTGTGGAGCAGTTCACTACCTCAGGATAGTGCAAGGTTGTGTTTACTGGTGGCGGAAAATGGGAGGAAGAGATCGACCGGCAGATTGAGCAGCGTTTTGAGTGAACCAGTCTGAATCTTAAAATTAAAGCAGAGCTGAGTCTGAATACTAGGATATGTGTGCTCAAATGCATCTTCACCCCGATGTTCACCTACTGTCATTAGTCGTGAACCATGACGGATGACGGACAAATTTTGATCCGAGTACCTACGACTGAAATAGGCTTTCTGAGTCGAACCGCCGAGCTCGTGCGTCTCGACAGAGCCCCAGGTTCAGATATCCAAGGGAACTTTGGTGTACAGCCTCTGATTCTCCAGTTTGAGAAGTCACAGCTGCGATGGTTTCGCACCTCTTACGAATGACTCCATAAAGGAAGGCGCAACAGCTACTATTTGCTCAAACGACTAGCGGAAGTCGCCGAGGACGGCCAAGAATAACCTGAGGCAAGTGTCTGGAAGTACTCTGCTCCAGACTCGGGTTATCTTGTCGAATCTCAAGCGCTGACACACAATCGAGAACGTTGAGACACTGTCTGACGCATCTGCTGCCGTGTCCCGAATGGACCCCGGTCGCTGAAACTAACTGACTGATTCTTTAGTTTCTTAAATGAGCAAATAAATGGTTTATCATTTGTCCTCTTAAAAATGTGAAAATGTTAGAACAGTTTATGGACATATTTTATCAAACGCTTTGAACACAGTTGTTCCGTAACAATAACATGCATATCAAAATATATTTAGGAACCGACTTATTAATGTCTCAGAAGTGATCAATATCCAAAATTCGGTGAATAACGTTATTGCGACTCAACGTAGGGCGTCTTGTTCACGTGCCAAACTAGAGAGTGGCAGTAAGGTCGCTAAACTTTCTTTAACGTTGGATTCGAAGAAGATGTTATTTCTAGGAGACGCTGACAAGAAATTATACGCCCGCCGATAACTGGAGAAAACAACCTCGCGTATTTCACAGACAAGAGGTAGCTATAGCTTCAAGATCTAAAGGGCAGTTCTCCCTCATCTGAGTTCCTCCCTCAGATTACGCAATAAAGGTCTGAGTTCACGCAGTTCAATCGATAAATTAAGAAATATTACCTGACGCTTTTCTGTTGATTTAAAAATAGCTCAATTGCTGGAATCCTTCATCAGCTAACTTACTCTCTCCGCTGACGTGCGCGCTGCAGCCGGGCAGTGCCTGCACGTCTTGCTGGTTACACAAGAAGTCACCATCGTTGCACGTTGATTCCATTTACGTACGCTGCAACGAGTCAATGTCATCGATGTCAGGAATGTTGCCAAGACCCCCTCCATACAAGTGATCATCATGAAAGTTACTGAGGACAAGGGTCATCAGAGGGCAGGTGGTCATCCTCATCATTATTTCGATTGGTCTCGAGGCAACAAACAACGCGCAAAGGCAAGGCGGGTGCAGCTGTTTTCAAATGTAGCTCCAGTTAATGATTGGCTATAGGAGAAAACGCGGGGGTATCAAACGAGGGATCACTGAGGACAAAAAGGGAGAAATGTTCCAAGGTAGTTTTTCGAGACGGCGATACGGAGAATCCGACTTCGTGCCGGCATCCGGCGCTGCTGCCACTGCGAGTGCCGTGCCAAAACAGTAGCGAGGGAATGAACATGCGATGAATTGCATCATGCAAGGCTTTTGCCCAAGGCTGCACACGACACAATACGATTTGATTATGATGACTTACCGGCTTCGGATGACGGCTAAAACAGAAAAAAAAACTAAATGAGACAAGGCAACGTGAAATTAATTACATAACGATTAAACTTGTCAAAAATGTTTGAAAGAAAAGTTAATAAACAAATATGTGACGTGTGTTATTAGATTCCAACGTGCCTCTCATACTGCTTAGAAAGCACAGAACCTGCTTGACTCTCCAACTGAAATTCACGCTATTTTTAGAGCAAGGAAATGCCAGAGTTCTGGCGAAAGTTTTTCATGGAAGCGGTATGTGAAAAAGCTTCAATGAACTGAAAGATCATTAGATAGTCTACGGGAGTCGACGACGAGCAGATCAAACAGTGAAAACAGAAGCTCTGGTCAGAAGTACGAAATACCTCCTCTACGTTGCCAAGAAATCATGCGGAAATAATTGCCATAGCTGTGACACGTGTGCTTCTAGATCAAAACCGACCGTCATTGGACGAATTGCTCTATTTACAATATGGCTCAAAATGAGTAGGCGGTGTCACACATGGTTATGCTTTATAGCTGGTAGAAATGGGTAAAAATTCAAAGCTAAAATGTGACTCTTCGTATGCTGCTTTATTGCTCGCCAAAGTTGTAATTTCTCGTTGGAAAATGAATTGTAACGGTTGTGGATTTGCGGAGCGACAGAGAGAGGCAGTAACAGGCAGACGCCGCAAAACCGGAAACCTGTATGCATGGCGTGTGTTGGCGTGTTGTGCCGGATGCCGTAAGAGTGCGCAAATTCCTTACACACAAAGTAAGCATGTGGTGCTGATGCTGAAGAGGGTTGCGCGATGTTCGTCTGACACACATCAAAGCAGCACTCGCTCATAGCGGAAACAATATAAACAACCGTACGGGTGAGTAGTGTAAAAGAACAGTTAGAACACGATCGGCTTCCGTAACGTTCGACAAGCAGCAACACATCGTCCAATAGCATAGGGCTATTTCGTCCTCTGACCATTTAGAGCATCGAGGCAAATGGAGGAACCAAGAACTCAGTGATTCAAGTGAACACAAAGATGCATTTGAACGAAAGTAGTCAAAAAGTGATTTCACAAAGAAATTCAGGGTGTCGACAAAAAAATAATAGGATTGACTGAAAACGATAGTCGATCGCATTTCCGTTGTCTCGAGTGAAGGGAAAAGGA